ACTACTTATTTTAAAAATATTGTCTAAATTGAGTATTTTGATAAGTCTAATCAATCAAAATATTATTTTATTTTAAATTTTTTTAATAAATTTTATGTAAATATTCGTATATGAAATTGATTGACTCGAAATTCAAATATAATAGATATTAGAATGGGCAGAACAAACCATAACAGTTTAGGCCAACCAAAAATGAAGGTATAATACTGCTCATACAAAATTTGCGTTTATTAAGTTCATTATAACTGCTAAAGTAATAGATCTTTTAGGCGGGTTCATTATTTAAATACATTCCAACATAATCTTATTGGTTTTCGGCAATTGGATATGATTTTTGGACTTGAGTATAAATATTCTAGGTACCTGGTGTCATGGGTATATTGACATCCGGCGGTAAGCCTGCTTCTTCTTGAAGTTTTATCAATTCCTGCTCTAATTCATTGACCCGATGCAGAGCACCTTCGAGTTCATCCAGCAAGGTATTAGCATCATTATCGCGTTCCATTAAATTATTTTTGACAAATTCTACCGGATCATCAGGTTTGTTCTCAACTGAATACAAGGCAATCAGAGCTCGTGTTAAAGCTTCTACAACACCAGAGCGTTCTAAATATTTCCGAAATTCTGCCCTTTTCAATTCTATACCGCTACCCATTTTGTCATCTATTTGTATCAATTAATTTTGGTCTGATAATGTTTAACGGTATGTGGATTGCATATTTTCATAGATACGTTATAATTTATTAAGTGGCATAGTAGAAATACATGACAAGCTTGGCATATATGGGAAGTAAAAATTTTTCTATCTTAGTGTTTTAATAAATAAATCTATTTTTTATTGAACTTAAAATTTATTTAAACATATTTTGTACTTAACGCAAAATGTCAGATATAAAATATTGTTTTGTTTGTTATTATTATACAAATTATTCAAATTTATTAATTTATTAATTATACATAGTAGCACTCAGAAATTTATAAATAATTTCTTAACAAATAAATTACAAATAAATATAATCTTACGTATAATTATTTCCTTATTATTATCTCTAACAAATGTGAAATAAACGTATACACGATGTCCACAAACACTTTCTAGTACTACACATGGCTACTGAATATTGCAATAGCTGTTTGAAGCAAATGATAATTTTAAATATTTATTAATATAACCATAGTGCAAAAAATTATCGACATGGGAAGCCTTGTACTATATTCTGAGAATCCATCTTCAAGCAAAGGATTCGGATAAGAAATCGGAGAGATCTAACAGCTTCACTCAAAGCAAAGAATATATTTCTCCGATTATTTATATTACAGAATATTTATGCGGCATTAGCATTTATAAACAAGAAAATAGAATAAATATTTCGCAATAAAATATTTAAATTGTGTTTTCTCTCAGATGATCTTGCATTACCGCATATAGGTAGACATGTATTAAAATTATATGAAGATCTTTAGACCATAGCGTAATGTATAATATTAGTTGATGTTATAAACTAAAGTTAATCACAATGCAATTGATTACTACGATTTATTATGATGTAAAATAAACCTACAATGTAATAACTATTTCAAATGTTGTGTGAAAAGAAAGTTGTTTGAATATTAAGCGAATGGCAGTTGTTTAAAATTAAAATAAATTACAGACTACTACAAAATTTAGTTTCAAATCGCAATTTAGTAAAATTAAATATGTAACTGTATATAGGATTATAAAAACGTATTTTTTTAGTAATTCTTAAGAGGGTCAATTAACAGAAAAAAAGATTTTTTAAATTTTAAAATATTGGACTACAACTAATATAACGTACAAGAGAAAAGTTCAAATTGGTGAAAAATTTCATTGACAGCTTAAATATTGTAATCGAAAACACATTCCACAAAATGATACATCCATCGAGTTTTAGTATCAAATCTAAAATCTATGTGGATTATACTACAAAATAAATTTATACTTAAAATAAAATCCTAATAAAACTATGAGTTCAAGTTATTGTATCAATAAGTTTTCGGTTTGTATATAATATTCACAAACTTATTTCTTCTTCTGATTCACTAAAAATTAATAATAACTGTGAATTAAAGTAAACCAATTATGGTCATAACCTAACAATTACAATAGTACTCCGCTTTACGAGCTTAATTTGTTCCGTAACCACGCTCGCATGTCGAATCGCTCGTATTCCGAAGCAATACATTCAAGTGCCGTTAATTCGTTCCAGCACAGTGTTTTTTAATAATAAAAATAAATGAAACTTCATTGCTAAGATCAAATATAATACATATTCTGCAAACACATAGCACATTAACAAATAGAAAATGACTAAAACATTAATGAATTAAAAATTTTAACATTAAAATAATTTACTTTATTTATAGTTAAAGGCGACATACAAAAATCCTTATTAAAATTGATATTATATGAACCTGTTTCATTCGCACCCCCTTAAGTTTACGTTACGCCTCTCACTCGCACGTACTTCGAATCTTACTTGTATGACGAACCAATGAATCTCTCCTGAATTTTGCTCGTATGACGAAGCAAACGAGCCGTTCTACAGAACTCGTACAACGAGTCGCTCGTAAGGCGGTGTACCATTCTATTGTTATATAAAATACTAAAATTTCATTTTACTAAATGCAATTGGCAAGTTCATAATCGTTAACTCTATATTTACTCATGCTTTTCTTATTAAAATTTCCCTAACTAATACTTAAATCACAGTAAGCAACCGATGTTATGTTATTATGAACATATGGCCGGTTCCACGCAAACATTCCACCGATTTCTAAGGTATCCGGATTCGCACACGCATGACGGAACGCAAAGATCCGGGCAATACCGAAATTCCGGAGGTCCGCTCAAAGAGTCGGAACAACTATCAGGACAAGACGGCCCACAGTCGCTCCACCGTTCATTGGCGCCCCAGCAGATGGCGTCTGGACCCTCTTTTACTCGGTGTTCCAGAACTAAGGGGTCGCATACTGCAAAATCAAGAGGATTGATGATTGATTAAAAGTTAGTAAGCTTATTCTTGGAAAATTTTGTTTACGTGTCAAACTACTTATTTATTTCGGGATAAGCTAATTTGTTTCGATTTCGCCCGTAGGTAAGCGGTTAAGAGCGACGGGACTTGTTTCAGAGGTCCCGGGTTCGATACCCACTTCGAGCAGCCTGTTGTCAGGCAGCAGTGACAACGATTTTCATTTGAAAATGTAGATAGCAATATATTTTCAAGTGAAAATAGCCCTCACCCGGCATTGTTGCACCAATAAAAATGTCAGCCCTATTAGATTAATTCTAATAACAAAAAATCATCAAATATAGATGGATTAACCATTGGGTTACCATCTAAAAAATACGAAGTAAGGAAAAGTTTCAGCCCAACAGCTCATAGGACGTAAGGTTCTGATTGCTGTTTAAAAAATAATAATAATAAAAAAAAGAATCTTAAAAAATATCTTGTAACTGTCAGTGTTACATTTGCCATTTGCCATTTCTAAATTCCTAGGAATTCAAAATCAAAAAAATTTAAATTGGGATAATCATATTTATTCATCATTAATATCGAAACTTTCCAAAACTTGTTTTATGTTAAGAGTACTTAAATCTAAAATTAGTTTAAATTGTCTTCTTCCTATATATTACTCCAACTTCTACTCGCATTTGGTCTACGGCATTCAATTTTCGGGTGTTTCAGCATCCTTAAAACATGTTTTCAAACTTCAAAAAAGAGCACTAAGAATCATGTTCTCTCTTAATTCGATGACAAGTTGTAGAAATATTTTTCAGAAGTATAAAATTCTTACTGTTCCTAACATATTCCTACTTATTATACTTCTCTTTATAAAAAATAATCCCCAGTACTTTAATTTATCTTCCATGTCTAATTCCCACTATGTCACAAGGACATAGGAACTATCAAAGGATCGACTTTTAAGCTTAATACTACTTTTAATTCAATTGATGGTTTTGGTATTCAACTATTCAATTTATTACCTTTACAAATACGTAAATATCATAAATTCCACAACGTTTTGATTAATTTATTAAAAGCCAACAGTTTTTATGACATTTTTGAATATTTTAATATTCATATTCACCCTTCATATTATAAATATCTATTTGTTACTAATTATATGTGATATCTTACAAATACTCGTACAGCAATTTCTGGCTATAACTGAGTATTACTTAGCTGTGAAATATTTTTCTTCGTCTCTGATACTGCTCTTTTTTCAGAAAAGCGTCTAAACTTTTTAATAATTTTAGTGAATCAATGGATATACAGGACCTTAACTTTTGAAGATGTTCTAAGCAAAGACGAAATATCAAGTTTCATAAAATCAAGACACAAAATTAAATTATTTTAGCATTCCTTTATGTGTATTTTATGTTTGGTTGTTTTGTTATTTAATTGTAAAATTGTGATTTGAATTGTATATCTTAATACATCTACATCTAATACATCTAATACATCTAAAAGGTGAACCACTGGTGTTTTCTTTTAAAATTCTACGTTATATGTTAAATTAATTACTCAATGTCTTTCTATTTAGACATATTGTAATTTTTAAGAAAATAATAAAAAAAATATTAAATATTCAAGTTAAACCTATATTTGATCTGTGTTCGAACGTATTTTCATATTTTATATCAAACGGGATGATGATACATATTGCTTTGGCACCCAACTAACTTTATTTCAGGAATTTACGGGTTTGGTATGAAGTGTAATAAATAATTCTTCAGCCGTATCTAAATGCATTTAATGAGATAATCTTACTGCTTATCAGAATGCACATCAAATCATCACCAGAAATCAGTATTATGTTTTGTTTTATCATTATCAATTAAATTTCACATTTATGATGAAAGAAGCGAAAGGTTCCTGGTTTGAATTCTTCTTTTATTTATTATCTAAACGTATTATCTAATAGATTTGACTAATACCATCAGTCAGCACCTTGAGGAAAATATGCACACAGTTGCAATGTTTATTGATTTACAAAAAGCTTTTGATACAGTAGATCATGGCATATTACTCAATAAACTAATAGATTTGGGTGTAGAGGGTTTGTCTTACAGCATTATCAAAGATTTCCTCATGAAAAGAGTGGTAAGGACGAAGGTGGGAAATTTCACAAGTGGAGGATGTAACATAACCTGTGGAGTTCCACAAGGTTCTGTATTAGGACCTTTATTGTATCTATTATACACCAATAACCTTAAAGACGCAAAATTAAAGGGAAGATACATATTATATGCAGACGATACAGCGATAGTATATGCGGATAAGGATAAAAAAAGACTCGAAGATATTATAAACACGGACATGAAAATATACACCGAGTGGCTAACTGAAAATAAACTAACAATTAACATAGATAAAACAAAATACATATATTTCAAACATAGAAAAAATACTGAGAACACTAAACTAAAAATTGAAGTAAATAATAGAGCAATAGAGGAAGTGGAAAGCATAAAATACTTAGGACTGATAATAAATGAAAAACTGACATGGACAGACCATATAAACAAAATAAAAAGAAAGATAGGAACATTAACAGGGGCATTGAAAAGGATCCACTCTTTCGGCAAAAAAAATAAAATACTAATTCTTAAAACGCAAATAATACCTATAATTTATATGGCATAACAACATGGAGCCAAACAACTAAAGCAAACCTAAATGACATACAGAGAATAATGAATAAAGCCATAAAAATAGCATATAATTTACCACATCTAACACCCACCAAATACTTGCAGAGAGAAACAAATAATCATTCACTAAATAACATAATTAAAATAGAGAAATGCAAACTAATACACAAAATGAAATTTAACCGAATTAAAACAAGTGCAACAATAGACACAAATCAAGATATACATGAACACTACACGAGACAACACAACAATTTTCACATTGAACGCAATAGAAAAAAGAATTTGAGAGAAAATGTCATATGGAGTGCTACCAAAATATATAACGAATTGCCAGACTATATTAAGATGACCAATGATAATGATAATTTTAAAAGAAAAATAAAGAAGTACTATATGGAAATTGAAGAAAAAGAAGACTGAAGAGTTATATATAGATATTATATTAATGAAATAGATATTATAGTCAAATGAAATGTAAATATTATATGAAAACTGTTTTTCATAATCTCTCATACCAGGCACCTCTGTCTGACTGAGATATGAAAATAATGTATATATGTAAATAAATAAAATAAATAAATATTGTTTGCATTCCAAACCAAAATATAAATGTCATCCGCTTACTGCACAGGGATTTGAATACCATTTGTTAATCATGAATCTATAATAGAAGGTTGCAAGCAATTAGCACTGCGAAAATGCTGCTGGTTGATGCAGTGTTTCTTAACGCTATGAAGCAATAATATGCAATATATGCTGGTTACTATATGTATACTAATTGTGATAAACTCCAGATTATATTTTTGTATTTTTATAACCCTGTACTAAACCGCATAATAGCAATGGATTATTTTTGAAATCGTATTATGAAATGAAGATGATGGAAAAATTAAAAGAAAAAGATAAAACTTGAAATACGATAAGCTCTTTTATGATATAGATTTAAGTTCTTAAGTTTCATAAAATCATTGCAATAAAAACTACCAAATAATTATTTTTACACGAGTTTGGTAATTATAAAATTAGTGAAAATTGTATAAAAAATTGAAAAAGCAATTAATTATAACTTCCAAAAGATTGACAAACTTTTAAAATATATCTAGCACAATTTGAAAATAAAGAATAAATATTGTAAATTAAGTGGTAACTCTAAAGAAACGACTCAGACGATAGTAAAATAAGACAACGTTGGAAAGCCAAAAAATATTCGAAATATTAAATTTTAAATATTTTTTACATATAGGTACGTTTTTATTTTTATTCTTCTATTTTAAAACTAGTGGGGTGTATGGCATCATACCTTAAGGAAAATTGCAGGAACTTCCCGTACCGTAACGAAATGTTCGAGGAATACTGAATGTTTTCAAATAGATTATTATTAATATTGTAACATTGTCTAATATTTATAAGCATTATTTATAATCTGAATTGCAAATTGTAATTATTTGTTTAAACTCTACTAAAACTATAGTCAGGATTAAAAATAAAATCTGAATTATTTTCGATATACAAATTTATTTTTCTGTAAAAAAAAATTAAAAAAAAAGTTGAAACAATTTTTTTTTTCCAAAATCAATTATTTTGTTAAGACAAGCGGAAAGTTCTTTAAATTCAAATCGGACGTTCAGTTCTCTCAAAAACTACCATTTTTTGTACATTTAGCTTCGTATCTTCGAAATGGCTGGGCCTGCTTTTGCTAAAAACTAATAAACACTTCTCCCAATCATTACTAATTGAATGTTTTTTAGATCATTCGAATCGGATGCTCTGTTCTCTCAAAAACCCGATTTCTGTTTTCTGCACTCTTTGCTCTTTATCTCCGTAACTGTTGGACCTGTCTTTGCCAAAAACTAAACAGCACATCTCCCTTTCAATAGGAATCATTGAACCATTCAAATCAGTTGATCCGTGCGCCCGAAAACGTGACTGGAAAATTGTATCCATACATACATGCACACACACACACATCCATTTTTTCTGAGGTATGCCAAAATGTTCAAAAACCTTCAAAACGTTGAGAAATGTAAAAATTTTCAATTTCGACTTTTGGCCCATTACAATAACTTACCCTGCGAGAAGTTAATAAAGAATACGTAATTAAATATATTACAATATGTTAAATAAATATAATGATTTAAGAACACACTTTGAAAAACTTTTATAAGTTGTAAGTAAAAGTGGTTCTTGAACTTGCAGATTTGCTTTCGGTTAGATCGTGTATGCCATTTATTTTACATCATATTGCGCTTGGAGCAGTATACTTGCAAATCAAACTTGGACATTGCAAATTCAGGTAATTTACATATTAAAAGTCTATTTACATGCAATATATTATTGAGTTATCGGTAGTTGAAGTTGGCATTAAATTATGATTTAAATTGCATATCAAAGATGCGGTTTTGATTTATGATTACAAGTCTACAAATTATTCGATTACATATCTTCATAATATTTCTATGAATAGATAAATCATAATATATCATAACACGTCTTTCCAATTATACGTAAGAAAACGTGATACATAAATATTGAAATCCTGAAGAAATATTAATAACTTGAGTAGAACATAATTTTTAAATTTCAGATGAATTTGTTCTGCTCGTGTTTAAAATTTCAAAAGTAATTGATTTCCGTATATAAAGTAAACAACAATTAAGAACAATATATTACCTTAACCGAATGAAGTTGAGCTTTACTGCTCTGGAAAAAGTAGAAGCAAATTACAGTTCTATAAATACAACCAAATCGTACACATATATGACAAAAAGCTATCTTTACATTAACTATCAATCAATTCTTTAAATCGTTCATTCTCATTAAAGTCGTTTAGCAAAAAATGCACAAAATGTTTTACTTCATGTAATATTTCTATGGTGTGTGAAGCTATAATATTCACAAATATTTATAAATAAGCAGAAATTTAAAGACAGAAAAAAGTTCAAATCGGATGCTATTGATAGTTAAAGAATTGATGTCATAACTTATCTTATTTACTGTTTGAAAAGATATAATTTGGGTTTAGTCATTATTGAGCAGAAGATTATTAGAACTGAACCTATTCAAAATTCAATTCATAACTAGATTTAATTCAATATGCACTTCTTCTAAAGAATTGCCATTTACAATCACATTAGTGTCGTCTGCAAAAAGAATGAATTTACAAAGAGGTGGACAATTTTGTAGATCGTTTATAATGATGAGAAATAATAATGGACCAATAAGTGAGCCCTGAAGGACACCGAACTTAATATTAAGTTTGTCTAAAATTTATTGAAGCACGATCATTAGGATAGACAGATGGAGTCCTTTTTGATAAGTACGATGAAAAAATTCAAGAGCAATACCACGAACACCATATTTTTCGAGCTTTTTTAAAAGAATTTCATGAGATATAAAATCAAAAGCTTTAGAAAAGTCACGATAATCAAGAATTGAAAAAAATATGAATAAATATTCCGCGAATATAAACATACTAAAAATTTTATTAAAAATAAACCGTAGGACGATAGTTTCTACATCTGAAGTCAGGTCAGGACAGTCCCGATTTTCCGCCTTGCGTCCTGGTTTTTACGGATTGTCCCGGATTTTTAAAAATAGTTTGATTGCCGATATTTTTTAAATATAGTTCAACTAAAAAATTTGAACCGAAAAAATGTGCATATAAGTTTTTAGCTCACCAACACCCCCTCCCCCCGCTCACACATACATTCTAGTACGTCCCGGATTTCATGCAAAATATATGGTTACCTTAAGGAATACAGTAAACATATTGTAAAATTTTCTTTTACACTATAGCTTAATGAAAGTAACTATTCTATAAATATATTTTGCTTTTTTATTACATACAATGGAACTTGACCTACAACAACGTGCCATAAAATATTTACATGTTATTTATAATGCCAAAGGAAAGGCGTGTGCAAAAATCTTCGCACTTACATCAATTTATTCTTCGGAGGTTGAATATTTCGATGACTCAACTGAATTTGAAATAGATACTTTGAATTTACATAAATAAAAACATGCAAAATTATATCATCAAATATCGTGGCATGACATCATGGCACGAGCTCCAATTTTAAGATCATCATAATTTGTCGATAATCATGGTTCAGGTTGTAATGGCTTTTATGACACAGTGAACTATAGAAGAAGCGCGGTGAAAGGGATTATTTGCTCACGGTGATTTCTTTCATGAACATATCAATGTCTCTTGTCATTCAATGAATTATCCAAGTTTTTGAAGGAAAACAGACAAATTACACTATCATGTCTCCTATTTGATTTTATCGATTTTTACATAAAATATATTAATGGTGAAATATGATTTAATTCATGTACGAAAATGAAACCATCAATTATCGAATATTATAGAAAATGTCGAATTGGACAAGAAATATTTTCATGCCCAAATATGTCTGTTTCATTTTTATTTTAATTATATTT